TTTCAAACTTTGTCGTCGTTACGAGGAAAGGGTGTATTTGGAGGCAGGGGGTTGGAGTCCTTGAAAACTTTGAAATTTTCAGTGTACATGTATACGTAGAAAAGCGGCCTTTTCGTTTCATTCACGCCACCGCCAGATCTAATGCATGTATATAGATGTATAGGGAGCCGAGGGTAGTTGCTCTTTAAATTTCGACGAGCAGGGATTCGCTTCTCCGCTCCGACCCCCTTTCCCCCAATTTTTTTTTTTTCTCCCTCTTCCGGCTGAAAGGCTTTGGTTTTCCTCGCTTTTTTTTTTCGGCGGTAAAACGTGACTCGTGGCTTTTTTTTTCCTTTTTTTTTTGAGGGCCAACTTTCTTTGTTTCTCTCTGGATTGCGGCGCCAAAATGGGTGTACTCTGTTTGGAAGAGTCGAAAATTTAGATTGGTTTTGTCGTCGATGCTCGAGAGCGAAAAAAAAAACATCCAAGGTTTTTCTCTCTGTAATAAGTATAAAAAAATGTATAACTTCGATCAAAGGTTCGAGTTGTTCCTATATATTATAGGCAGTTTTGAATTACCTGGTTACTAGGTTATTGGATTTAAAAAAAAATTATTTTATCAATATACAATCAGACGAAGTTGTTTCGCAAGATTTTTCGTGCAGTCAAAACCCACTCGGCCACGTGAAAATTACTTTTTATATCATATATACAAGCGCTGAATAATGTCAAGTAATTTTTTCCTTAACCCATCGCCTTTCCCATATTTATAACAATTGTATTTAATCATGAGAAAGTGAAAAACATTTTTATTGTTCAAGTGTAGGTACTTGAAAATCACCGAGTCATCCAAAATCATGAAATTTCGGGGCTTGTCACATCAGACTCGTTAACTTTCACTGAAGCTTCAAAGCTGTTAGTTTCCGGGAGATAATTTCAAAAGAAATTCACAACTATTTAAGTCGATGACAGTGTAGTCTTTGAAAAGAAAAAAAAGAAGAAAAAAAACGAGTCATTAAATCGTTGAATTGTGAATAAACAACCGTGTGTATTAACGCACACTCATATGTGGTAAACGTAAGCATCGCAATTGTTGTCGCCAAACCTCCTGCAATAATCATCATTTTTAGTAAAATTAAAATGACAAAAACCACTACCGTTTTGCTGTCGGTTGGATGTTAGCGACAAACGCGAAGTCAAAACGTGCAATGAGAGTTCGAGAGTCGATAACGAGACATTGATCCGAAGAAAAGAGGCAATTACGTACGAAGGAAGTTTGCGCAAGGCTGGTAGCTCAATGAAAACCAGTCCACGCATTTCTGCCTATATATTATATACTCACTACACACACGCTAAAGTATAGTGAGTGAAAGAGAGCGCACGGTTTGTTTTAGTTAATGACGGCATATATTTTGCCGGGGTGGGAGGGGTAGTATAGGTATAGTGATTTATCGTTGCGAACGACCTGCACTGCACTCTGGCGAATTTCCAATTAATTTACATGCTCCGAATCAACAAAGTCGGTGCCTACGTATATGTACATTCAAACGCGATCTCGCACCCACGTGTCGCATACTCTACATCAGGTATTAGGTGGACGGCGAATGACGAACGCGTCTAATTTAACTATCAACTCTTTTATGTAAGTACGTACGGAGGAAGCGAAAGGAAGTGGCCTCGGCGAAGGGGATTTTTTTTTAATGGTATACTCTCAACCAGGGAATGAGAGCCGGTGCCAAGGTGCACTGTTGGTTCATATGTAGAAACGTAAAGCGGAAGTCTAGCGGTGGTGTGTATTATACTATATATGTTATGGGACGCTGAACTGGTTGTTGTTGATGAGGATACGTATTTTTGGCACTTGGTGTAAAATCCTTCCATTCGTGGTTTCCCGCAAGCCATTTGGATTTACTTGTCGATGTCTAATCAGCTCCTCGCGTTATCGATCAATAGTATCGTTACATCACCGATGATGCTTGTTTTTTTAACAACAAAACTTGTAATCTCCAAGGTCGGCAGGTTGAGCTTCTCTTGCTGATTTTCTCGTATCATACCAGTTTGTAGACGGAAATCAAAGCTCGTCCTCTGAGATTCCATTGAAATTTCTGCTTACAAATGCAGGAGCGCACCGCCTGCGACGGAAAATAGAATTTATTGACGCTCCGCGGAGGGTAGATCGACGTGCTCAGAAACGAAAAATAGCCCCATTTGTTTGACGTGGTGTGGTTATACGTCCACCTGACACCTGTATACTATGAGGTAGAGTAGAAGGACGCGAGGAGTAAGATGTACCGCAACACGACTGCTTATTGTAGTTCCTCTTCAATTGTTTACCTCGGATACTTTTGCTCCTTCATTTGAAGATTTTGATGGGTGCTAATTATACAGCCTAGCGACGCGTGGCCCTAGATACTGTATACTCTCCGATCGAAACAAACAAAATCAAGTTGAACCGAGAACGCCAAGAACAAATAACAACAACAACGATGAATTGCACTTTTCCTCTTTGTTCTCGTTTCGTCTGATACGATTTTTTTTTTTTTTTCATCTACTGCTGGTATTGTACCTTGCGTAACAAAACAGGGCAGCGTAATGACTTGTACGTAGTTGAAGCTGACAGCAGTTTCCACCTATACGCACTTGTGTGCACGTCAAAACGTTGAATGCGCATGAATTTTTTTTTGTTTTTTTTTTTGTTATATCAAAGCTGACAACGCCTCTTCTTCGCACGAGTATAATATAGTGCAGGTATGTAATGAATCCCACGCTCATTAGCGTAATTGTTACTTTACGCGTATTGGTCTGTAATATCATGTGTATGTTTCGTACAATAGGTGTCGATTTTGACCCCATGCTATCTGTTTCTCTTTCTCTCTACAGCACACGTCTTATCTGGTACGTCGCGTGCGTTATCTCTGCATTGTTTTGACGATGAATAATGAACCAGAAGACAAAAAAGTTGGCTGGATCGGAATCTTGAGTACTTGCACTGTAAAACATATAAAATAGGGGAACATAAATAACTGTTCTCAATTAAAGATATCCTGTTTGTTGTTTCGTTCGCACGAGATTACTTTAAAAATAAATGAACATCGGAAACAACTGAGGGTTAACAACACCTGCAAGGTGGTGAGGGGTCGTGCCTTTGTTTTAAAAGTTGCTGGCACCGAGGTTTTGCTTTCCTATTTATAAATTCCTGATGGTGAGTGCAGAATAAAGAAGAGGCGCATTGAAGCCGCGAAATAAGAAAATGTGGGACAGAGATGGTCTCGTCACCCTTGTATTGCCGTAGCAGCAGCGAATGATGATTTTTTTGTTACTTGCAAGGTCGTTGGGTCGTGTACCAATCGAACAGACAGATGGACACAGTTGCACGTAATTGGTTGTGCGAACCGAGCGATTATTGCATGGAAGGTACAGGATATAAGGTTTATTGTGCAGAAACGTTTGACTTGACAAAACAGTGTAAATATATCTTCTTCCAACAACTATCTTCAAGAGAAAGAGATACCACTTATAAATAACAAGTATTTTTACCGTTAAAGAGTACGCGCTTAATCATCTATCTTAATTACACATTTATTTATAACTTGTGTGCTTCGAGTAAAGATGGTTAATGATTTTTTTTTTTTTTTTTTTTTCTGAGAATCAATCAAAGTAACAATCACAATATTAGAATCTATAATACACCTGCTATACATCTAAAACATATTAAAGTGGGCTTGTGTATTACCTTATCTGCAATTGATAAAGATAGCTAACGTATAAATAAGTGGGTTTGTCAATTCAAACTAGATCAGTTGAAAGCAGTGGTAGTAGTTAAGACGTAGAATGGACGATGTTTCATAGACGAAAGATAGCTTATTTTTTTACATTTTTTATCTATTGGAAGTAACATTTTCTTAGATTAGAAATAATTGGTTTCAACTATTCAAAATGTATTTAGAAATTTGTTTTTGAGCATTTGAGTGATGGAACTTGGAATTGGACATCACCATATGGAATGGGATACGGTACACGTGGTCTCGAAAGTCGTTAAATCAAGTTCCCCATACAAGTGCCAAACTTAAATTAAGCTGAAAGTCTTGCTTCTCGTTTCAACTTCTATGAATCTATTCTTGTATGAGCGGTGCACAAGGTATATACCATTTCTTACGCTACATAATCCAAAAGTTCTTTGCGATAGTACGAATCGAGTTTTTTATAAATAGAATTTACAATGTACATAATGAAAAAAAAAAAAATCGCCAACACGTGCCACTCCGCTTTAGCATCAAATTGCACCCTCCCGTCTTTTACAAATACCGTCTTACAAATCCCCGCAGCATCCTTTCCGGACTCTTCTACAGCTGGTCCACATCACAATGATATCAGTCTCGAATAACGTGGAATATGCGCAGCATGTACAGAAGAAGTATAAGCCGGCTAAACAGGCAGCTCGCTCGAACAACAGCGCATGCGCTCCGGCATTCTGTTAGCGCACTCTCTCTCCGAAGTTCTCTTTTTCTCTCTTTCTCCTCCTCTCTCTTTTCCCACCGAGAGAGTATAGTGGTTAGAAGTGAAGTGTGTATAGTGCTGTAAGCGCGGGATTCGTTGTCGGTCGTTTTTGGTCGTCATCGTCTCAATCGTCTGGTTCGCGCGGCGTGTGCGTGCCTCTACGATCGGTTTCTAACCTCAAACACATACAACAATGTAATACACTCTCGATCGTGCGTGTATTTCTATCTTACATTTTTTCATTTTTTTGTTCGGAGCATTGCTCCGAAAAAATAGTAATGATCTGCCAACGCTGCAGAAGAACACGAAGGCCGAAGCTGTCTGCTAGTACTATACTCCCTCGAGTCGCCACGCTTTCATTCTACTTATATTGTATATAGTGAAAAAGGAGTACCAGAATACACGTAATACAATAACCAGCTGTTTTAAATTACAACAAAGTTGTAAAGTGATTTAAAAATCTAGTCTCGATACGGATAGTAGTGTTTGGTAAATTCATACAGTTGCGGTGTATAGTGCAAACATGTGTAACAGTAGTGTCTAGTGGTGGAACGGTTGCGTACGGGATGCTGGAATGATTAAGCGCAAGTGCAGTTCGCGTCCAGAGTTTACCATCAGTGCGATTAAACGTATTAAAGAAGCAGCCCTTGCATATTGTATTCCAGCCTATGCATGGAGATAACGAGTGGAGGTTATGTCCCGGCACGATGTACCCTTACCCGCACATGTGAGTCTGCGTGTTTTTTTTTTTTTACCGTTATGTCTCTCGCCCATATAGGTAATATACCAACGCTCATGCTTCTCTTGTCGTCGTCGTCATCTTGACCATCTGTTTATTCCATATCCCACTCATGTTTCACGATGAGGACGTGTCGGTCTGTTTAGACTTATCGGCTTTGCTTATGAATCATTTTTGAAATTGGAAAATTTTTGGAGCACGTGGGAGCACCTGAAGCGGTCTTTAAGTGGAAAGTGATGATTACGATGTCCTAACAATCTTACTCGGAAGAAATCATACCTTTGATAATTATGACCCCCAACTGTTGTACACGTACTTTCTACGCGCTAAGGAATGACGAAAGTACAATGTACCGTCAAAAAATGTGCATATCCACTGCACACGACCTACATCATATATTATAATCATACAGTATTTAGCTTGGAGTCTCGTTGTCGTGTACGATGCCATACCATCGACTTTGAGGTCTAAACGTTTGGCTTATGTCGATTACCTTTCGTATTTTTATGTGTTGGGTACGCTTTTTCGTGCCCTTTATGTAAGTCAAATAACACTTACTTCCTTGTGGAAAAAGGTCATTTCAATTCCAAGTATTTTTTTTATTTATCTCTTTCGATATGTGACCAAACACAGAGAAGAGCGCAACGTTGAAGGAACACAAGGAAATTCCGACTACATAATACATGTATATATATACGTCTGCCCTTGCCCCGAGCATTCCTCGTTAGCGCTATCGTTATCGTATGCGTCGGACGAAACGCTTTTATTTTCTTTGATCGTATTTGTTTTATTTCCACGCTTGCTCATGTATGCCTATGTACATTATATATTACACTATTTACGGTATCCCATACACGTCCGTATGTGAAAGTACAACGTATCGTCCCAAGAGAGTTTGTGGATAAATATTGCTACCGTCTGATGTCTCCTGTAGGTCAATGACTTGGGAAATTCCTAGAGCCACCATCAGCCTCCTTGCCCCCCTAAATCACCTGAGTGCACGTTGAGTTATCGCGTGCCAATATGTTGCGTATGAGGGACACGATTATTTGGTATACTGATTCACAAAACAAGTTGATGCAGTCGTGCAATTAACTAAATATAGATGCGTACACAGTCGATAGATAAACACACCACTGTCATTCACTCTGGTATAGGTCAGTTTTACGTATAACTGCGTTTAAGGAAAAATGATAATGAAAAGTCATAAGACAACAGATAACAAAAAGGTCAGGCCCCGCATCGGTTAAACCCCACCGTCGTGCGGCGACGACGCGATCGGCGGCGCTGGAAAACGAATCGCTCCTCGTAAAGTGGTATTAGCTCCCACACACAGTCGCAGCCTCCTCGTCGCTGTTGAGCGTGCAAAAGCTGTTTGTCTCCAATTTTAAAGCCCCTCGGAGCTGTTTTGTTTTTTTTTTCCTCCCTTTTTTTCGCACTAATGCCCCCTTGTTCCCCTATAAATACAACCCCTCCCTCCAACTTCCGCTCCTTTCCCTGGCGAAACAAACTTTTTTCCCTCTCTCTCGTGTGTTTGTGCCATTACTGTCCGAGTTTACACGGGCGGCTTAGGGCGTTCGAGGCCACCTTCTTATTCCCTTTTTTCAATTTCCCGAACAAATCCCTCCACATGATGAATAATACTCTTGCTGCGGCTCTGGTGTATGTAGTATTATGTACACAATGTCGGATATGTATTATGTTTTATGCATGTGTCGCGGGTGAAATGACGTGTGCGGCACACTTTCGCGGGTGGTCCAAAGCATATTGTTTTACTTTTTCCAAATAAGTAGCTTTCACGGACGAGCAGCCCCATATTCTTCAGTGATGCTGGATGATGCGATTGTCACTAACATATACCTGAGGGCGGTGGTAAGAGCGCGCGTCACGAATAATTCACGAAAACAACGGAGCGTCGTTGTCACATCGGACTTCACGCAGACGTCACCTTATAACTTGATTAAAAGGGTACGTAGACGCCGGGCCGTCGTAGTATATGCCCGTGTATTATTCAGAAAGCCCATCACACCCATGTAAGCGGGGAGGGTTCATTAAACGCAACTGTACGTATATAATATACTGAATATCCGTAGGGCTTATTCGAGGAAAGTGCGTGAGATATTATAGGGGGGGAATCGTATAAGCTCGCGATCACGTGCATCAGCATCGATTTCAATGCCCCCTCCCCTACCTCCCTTGGGTTTACGTAAAATTTTACGTAACGCGAAATTGTATCTCGAGTATATGGTGGTAGGAAAGCACCTGACGACGCTTGAGAGCGTCTCCTTTTTTTTCCCTCACTGTTTGGCTTTTCCTCCCCCCTCGATGTGGAGCAAGGAATTTCGTAATTCGATTTTCAAAGGCACTCAGTTGCCGGGAAGCCCTCGCTAGAGCTCCAATTACACTTGAGCCCATCTCTTACTCCGTATGTATATGTAAGAAGCATTTTCATGTAGATTTTCCTCTCTTTCCTATATGCACGTCGTTATCCCCATCAGGCATCACTGAGCAACCCAATTCTTTGAATTAAAGAAAATTTCTTTATCCTCATTCTGTTAAATGTTTTATTTTAAATAAAATTTAGTCGATCCAAAAAAATATTTCGTACAACTAAATAAAAATTCGTAATTAAAAAAAAGAAAATTTTAATTTAACAAAATATCATTTTTGATTAACTTATGTTTTTTTACTCATAAGAAAATATTTAACGGAACGAGGGTAAAGAAATTTTCGATTTTTAAATACGTTGCATGTAGTTGGAGTACATCCTTATACGTAAACAATATGCTTGTAAGACAGTCTGCCAAATTCGAAAATTGGCTTATTCGAGTTGACCTAAATCTAATAATAAACGATACACGAGCGATGTCAATAATATAAACTTCTTATTTTTCTCGTAGCTTTATCTAACGATTGCGTTCGTATATATTATTATCTTATTCAATGTAAAAAAAAAGTCAGGAAATAACAGGGTTATCGATGTCTCTTTTATCTTCGGGTGTACATTTATCGATTTCGCGTATCTACGCGTGTACAATGTAAATCGTGTTGAAAGATTGATGAATCAGTGAGTAACGAGACGCCTTTGCTGATTTCAAATAATAAATATCACTTTTGATGCAGGATTTACGAAAAAAGGCTTCCCTTAAAATGTTTCTTTAAATATATTGGTATTATTTGAAAGTATAAATAAAATGTACTTAGTTTTCTATTATAATACGATAAAAACTATACTTGTGAGTATTTTCTTTAAATATATTGGTACTTTGCTGGATCCCTTGTAACTCTATTACAATGATAAAAAAATTATTTTAAAACACGATTAAACTGCGTCTACAGGCTTCTAATGCAATATCTTGTTACAGTAAAGAAATATGAACTAAAAAAAAAAGCGATCGATTTAGCCTTGTCCTGGTGAAATCTCTAGGGGCTCCGAACAAATTCGACGAGAATTTTTTATATATATAAAGGGAATTAAATACTCCCCACTCCCCCCCTCTTACTTTCGCGCGTACATTCATCCACGAGGATTTAATAACTGTAATGAAAAAAAATACCCTTTTTTAATGACCTCTTGTATAAATAATCGTTTTTCACGTGGCACCCTCCCGGGAGGAGGGCACTGTTTTCCAAAAATTCCTCTACATTTTTACAACACACGACTATTTTTAATCAGAAATCGCTGCTCGCGCTCGGAAATAGAGTCCATAAATCAGCAGTTAAATGACCTGAAACCTACATATACCCATGTATGTACTGGTGCATATGAAAAAGTTCACGGTTGAAGATAAAAAAAAAAAAAAAGAGTTCAATCACTCCGTAGCCAATAGAGCATATCATGTTGTATTGTATCCCACGGGGTGATGTGTTTCATCGAGGAAATCTCAGTGAAGTATCAAAGCAAGTAACTCTAAAATTTTGAAACTCCGTGCAAGCAGAAAAGTGTTGAGAAAAAATGCGAGTAAAAAAAAAAAAAGAGAGAGAGGGTGGTAATAAAAGGCGTCCAAGAATTATTATCTCTATAGTTCGCTCTGTGTATATACGCATCAGAAGAGCAAGCAGCGGGTCGCGGCGGATGAGGGAGGGAGGGAGGCTATAACAGCCGCCTCCTTGAACTTGCTGCTCACCAGTATACGCAGACCTAAAGCCTCGAATAGTGAGCAGAGAGAGAGTTGCGAATTTTCCCTCCACCTCCTTCGCTTTGCGTTCAAGCAGACCACGAGCGAGTGTTCGCTCGAGGCACACTAACCTAACGTAACGCCAGCCCGTTTGTCTCCCTCTCTTTCTCTCTCTCTCTCTTTTGTACGCGGCACCCACCCACACACACACACACACACACACTACACGACTGTGAGTAGATAATGTTTCCGTCCCTCTTTTTTCTCGGAAGACCCTCCTCCTCCTCGTCCCATACGTATATATATATATACTTACTTCCACCCGCTCTCTCTCTCCCGTCTCGTCGTCTATAAATAGGACAATGCCGTGCGATTTCGCTAGCTCTGTCTGTCTCTCTCTCTCTACTTAATACTCGACTACCACTACTACGGATAACTTTTTCTCGTCTCGTTCGTGCCAAGTGCTTTTTGTTTTTTTTTTCCACCTCCCCCTGTACGCCTCATCCTCGTGCTTTTTCGTCTCTGCACACGTGTGCGCCAGAGTCGCCTTTAATTTTTAAAATGTCAAGTACCTCTCTCCAATTGACTCTATATACACACGACTGGTCTGTGTTTGACTTTGGTTATCGATCTCTCCGATGAATACATTTTTTTTTACTCGCACGTCACCCAACAATTTATTTGTTTATTAAAGAGAGGACAGAGCTACGTGTGTGTTGTATATACCTGCAGTAGACGCGAGTGTGTCTTATCGCAAAGTTTTTTATTTATTTTTTTTCTTCCTTCTTGTTTCGCACATGTAGTAGGACGCGGTGATGAAAGACGATGTTGAATGATGCGCCGCCTGCAGGTCGTTGGCGACATGTTAAT